GCTAAGGACATGAACTCTTTTCAGACTATGCATAATTTATTGTGGTCTATATAATGCACATTCTCAAGCGATTTGTCAGTTAGAGAACTTCTCATAAGGATCATCGAATTTTATTTTCAATAAACAACTCTCCTATTTGATAGTAGTCATTACTGAAAATCAATTACTTGAAGAATTTGATTATTTTTTAATATCTAGGCCTGATTATCGTTTATCAATTTTTGAACATTTAAAATCAGTAGAACATATTTATGCTCCTAGTAAGTATTTCTTAAACATATATATATTTTCTCAAACTTTTTGTCAACTATTCAAAGAAGTTAACTTTATGGAATATCAATCAGATATAAATTCAGCAATGCGTACAATTCTTATCGATTGGCTTATTGAAGTAGCTGATGAATATAAATTAAATGATGAAACACTTTTTCTTTGTGTACAATATGTTGATCGATTTTTATCAACAGTTAATGTAACACGATCAAAATTACAATTAGTTGGTTAGTATTCAAATGAAGAAGAAAAAAATATTTAATTTTTTTTTTTATTATAATATAGGTACAACTTGTATGTATGTAGCATCGAAATATGAAGAAATGTATCCACCAGCATTAGATGAATTTTCATTTATTACGGATAATACATATGAAACAAAACATATACTTCGTATGGAACAAATTATTATGAAAGTAAGTTTAGAATAATTAATGAATACTGTTTAAATACATTTGAGCGCCATGAGTAACTAACAAATGTATACTTATGAGGAAACATTCCAAAGTGTCTCACTTCGATTTCATTTGTTTATATATCATTCGATAGAGCATCTCGAGTAGGTAAAAGGGTTTCGGCCGACACCTTTTTTTTCGAGAGTTACGATCAGTTTTCTGATTTTTCCAGCGAAAACTAGCATAAAAAGAAAAATTCATAATTCCATAAACTCATAGAGAGCCGCAATTTGTTTTGGTGGCAGTCTTAGAGATCCTCTATATACTCTTGAAGTTTCATAATTCTACCACTCTCTGTTCTAGAGTTATTGAACATTTCTATAAGTAGGGATATGGGTGTGATTGTAGGCATCAGTGTTTCCTTTGCCCACATCCTCATCTTTACTTATAGAAATGTTCTCTAGCTTGGAAAAAGAAAGTGATAGAACTGTGAAACTTCCAGAGTATATACAGGACTCTGAAGATCACCACCAAAACAAATTTCAACTTTTAGCCTTTTTACCTACTCGAGGTTTCCTATTGAATGATATAGAAATGAATCCTGAATTATTTTCTTTTGAGAAATTTGACATGATCTCTTGTTTTTTTTGTTACTGCTTAAGGAATAAACTAAATAATATACTTATAAAATAAAAGTTTGAAAATCGTACTGGTGACTATGAATGTAATATGTCGGATGTTGATTGATTCCGATTGTGAAAAATCTAATCCGCCCAGGACATTAATTAACGTCAGTACTAGAAATATATAAAATTAGTTTATAGATTTCAATGAGCTAAATAAAGACTAATCAAAAATATTTTTTAATAGATGCTTAATTTTTCTCTTTCTGGACCAACTTGTTATACATTTATACAATATTATTTAACATATTTTAAACCAACAATATCAACTGACGATAATGATAATGAATATAAATGTTTAATTATGTTAACAAATTATTTATGTACATTATCACTTTTACAAGATCGTCCATTTTCATCGTACCGTTCATCGATGATAGCAGCTAGTTGTCTTTTATATGCTAATCGACTTTTAAATAATGATGTAATTTGGACAAATCGTCATATACAAATAACATCATATAATCAATATGATTTAAATGAATGTATATTAGCTATAGATGAACTTTTTAGAAAAACATTTCATCAAGATGAAACAACATTAAGTTTACTTCGACGTTATTTAAAAAATAAAAAGGAAAATGAAATATATCAACGTCGAGTTAAAGAAATAATTCATGAATCATTATCAAAAATAGATAATGAAGATGAAAATGATGAATTAATTGATTTAACATTTGATGATATTAATGAAGAAAATATGAGTATGGAACATTATCGATAATTTTTGTTTAATCCTTAATTATCATCGCACTTTCTTCTTTTGTTTATTTATTTTCTTCAATAATTTTCTTTCATTCGAATCTCATTATTTTTTACTCAGGAAGTATCTATCTATCATTATATTTCTCATTTGACATAATGACTTATTATTTCGTTTTTCTTTTTTTTTTTTTTTGCTCTTCTATGTTTCCATGTTATATTCTATCTCTCTGTGGTTTGTGTATGCGTGTGTGTTTGTGTCTTAAGTGAAATGTCTCTGTAGAACTTACAAAAAAAAACAAACTTTCTTTTGTTCCTGTTTTTCTTTTGCAGAAAAAAAAATTGAAAACTATTTCTATAGAATTGTGCGTCGTTGCTCGCTCTCTGTTTCTTCATACATTTACACATTATTCCATTTTGTTATTTCTTTTTTTCTTTTGTTTGTGAACTGAAAGATATATCTTGTCATCTTTTTTTTTGTTGTTGTTTCCATGTGTGAATGTTGATTTGAAAAAAAAAAAAACAAAATAGATAATTTCAATGAGAGCATGCAATAATAGTAATTATTATTATTATTCTATACGCAGATGTTGGAGATGGAGTAGTTCTGTGCACTGAATTCTATTGTCACGAAACTCAGATCAGAGAGAGAGAGAGATACATGAAAGCATCTAAAAACCTATTCCGTTATGAAAGTGAATTGCTACATATTGAGATTAAGTCAATTATTAATTAATAAGAGAAAATAATGCAATTTATTTTAACTGTCAACTGATAGTGGACGACATGATTAAACAATATAATGATAAATATATCAAACTGGCGAGATCCCGTGCATACTGCATGGTTGTTTTTTCCCCTTAACGTTTGACCTCTCCGCTTTAACCTGTGGTTCAGTGACACACACAGACACTCGACATTATGTATATAGAAGATAGCGCTATAGCCTCATAGCCTTTTCTTTATCTCTCTCTTAACCTTACTCTCTGTAGTTTCATTCAATCTTTGACCGTTAACCTGGAAACAGACAGACAGACACTGACCATTATGTATATAGATGTTAATAAACTCACATTTTCAACTAAAGGAAAAATTAACCTATAATAACATCATAATTGAATAGTAATCAAGATATAGATATTCATGTTTATATGGATTATTATAATATGGCAGAACATAGAGCTTGAGTAATTGATTATTTAGTTTATTTGGTATTGGAAAGAGTTGTATTATTTTTCATGATTTAAATAGTTACGTGATATCTTTAGATTCATTTTAATACAAAATTTATTCCTATTAGATTATGATGTTATTCTAGGTTAATGTTTATTTTAGTTAATGATGTGAAATTATTATCATTTCATTTATTTATTATTATATAGATTAATTTTATCGTTTACCATCAGTTAATAGTCTTTTTTTTTTTCGTTAAAAATTTCGGTTTTATGAAACACAATCTAAAAGGAGTGTTGAAATTTAAAGATAGAAATTTGCACCTATTCCTTCCTTCCACTCCACACAGAGCATGACAAACACTCTGGCAATCCATCACAGATCGTGGCAGACGCCTTAGCAATGTCGCCTATGTACGTCACAGATCGTATTTCAATACCACCTCATTATAATATATGAGTGTGGGTGTGAGTGTGATCTTCTCGTCTCTCACGACCCGCACCGACACCCCACGCCCACATATCATTCAATAATCTGATCCGTGGCATTTACTCATCATACATGCTGGTCATTTTTGACAATAGCTTCGAAATTAATCGTATTGCACAGTATTGACAATGATTCGATTATAAGCATACAATTTTCAAAGTATTGATCGGTAATCTGGTTTGATACTTGTTCCGTAAATTAATCAAGCGAGAAGAACCATAGCAAACTGAAAACTCTTCTTTAATGTTACAGATAAGACTTGATGGTTACTCTACATCCATTAATTATCTTCACATGTCTTGTTATTGATCAAAAAGCAAATATAGTATATCTACATCCTTTCACATAGATATAATTATTGATAGAAGAGAATGTAAAAATCATATGAAGATGACAAACAGAAAAGTACACTAAGATAAATGTGTTCAGAACATAGAATGATAAGATATCTAGAAATAAAACTCACATATATTCAGTGTATCATTCAATAATGACTATTCTCATAGAGAATCGACTTTGATCATCGCTAGGATTTGAATGTATGTGTATCCATAGCCGATAGTTTCTTCCATTTGATTCCTTTAATAAGTGCCTGATGTTTCGGTTTCTTTATCACGCAAACATTGTTGTACTACTAAAGTTTTTATTTGCCTGATAATTACAAATCAGTTAGAAATTTGTGCGTATAATCAAACATTCAATTTATTTGCATCGAGTATTCGTCTTGACTAAAACAAGCAAATAAAAGACGATGGTCAAATTTGATAAGATATTTTCAAAATACTCTTTGAGAAGAAACATCTCGATAATCAACTTTTTTTTTTTAATGCATGTTGTTCACTTTCTAATAGAATTCATAACTTACTTAGTCTTAATTAAGTTCTCTTACTCGCGAATTTCAATAGATTTAAGAAGAAAGTTTTCTTCATATTCATTTCTTCTACACAGCATCAATTTACATTGTTGAATTATAAAAATATTAATCGGTCAGATCGTCACTAAACTTTATAATTATTCTTATACAATAATTTCATTGTTATGAGTCATTATTAACTAAGTTAAATGCCATACCAAACAAAACAAGATTATTTTTTGCTTTACAAAATACACACGCATGCATAGCAAACAAAAGAAGAATTTACTAAAACTAGGATAATAAAAAAAAAAAAAAAACAAAAAAACTTTTGTTTGTATAAATAAAAACAAAAAACAAAAACGCAAGATTTTCAAATTGCACCGAAATTGCTAATAATCAAAAAAGAAAAAACAAAACAAAAGAATATTTTTATGTACTGTCATTTGATTCTTGTCCATTATGACCATATTTAGCTAAACGTATTGCTTTAAGACGATTTCGTGCTTGATCTAATTCACGTTCTTTTGTTAAAATAACTTCTTTACATTTAATTTCTTGTGCAATACCTGATACTAAACGTTTTGAAACTTCAATATGTTTTTCTTCTTGTTGCATATCAATAGTTTGTTGTGCAGTTCGTACAAGTATATCAGCTGTACGTTTAACAGCATTACTAGCATTTTGTAAACGTGTCATTGTTTGACTCATAAAATCAGCTTTAACCTTACAAGCAACAAGTAATGCTGCTGTATTTGAACTAACTTGTTTTGCACTTGATATTAATTTTTCTTCAGTACCATTACCTTGAACAAATTCATTAGCAGCATCACATAAAACATGACATGCTGATGCAACATAACGTGCCTATAAAATCAATCAATTAAATTTTTTAATACATAAAACTAGTAGACTTACTGCTGATATTAAACCTTGAGACCATTGACCATTTATATCAGAATTCAATTTAGATGAAAGCTAAAATATAAGATTTATAAATTATGGAAAAAAAATCAAATGATAAATATTTATTAAACATGCATTCGATTAGTTAGATAAAAATAAGTATAAGCGCTAAAACGAAGCGAAACAGTTTTATGCAAAATATAAGAAAAATTTCATTTTATTCATTCGAAGCGAAAAAGAAAAGGGCAATATTAGACTTAAAGTCGTACCATATTTGAATCAATAACCATCCGACTCTGTTGAAATATCCTAACAAAATATTTTTGAAAATGTACATAAAATAAATGAATTCTAGTCAAACTTAAAATTTCTTTGTATGATAGATTAATATGAAAAATCGAGTTTTTTTTTTGATGTTTGAAATAAAACATCGATTACTGATGATATTGTTCAAAAAATTGAATAAATTCAGTTAGATTTTATAAATAAATGAAATTTCTTAAACAAGAATATAATATGTGCCAATTCCTAGCATACAACAATTCGTATTCGAGTTTTTGTTCACTACAACTTAAGTTTTTCGGACAATATTTATCGATCAATATGATACCTTAGGAAAAGTTTGTAATGATCATTACTTTGAATCAATGTTTTTTAAAGATTGGAGACATTTGATGAAAGACAATTAGAGTAGAATATTTCAACGAAAGATCTCGATCAGTTTGCACGAAAGATGAAACACTCATGATAAGAGTTGAAGTTCTTAATCAATGTATAGAAGCTCATTTCTATGTCAGAATATTCGTTACTGTACATAAGTGCAAATAACTGTGCCTATTTTTATAATAAAGTTTCTATACCATGTCTCACTCATCCAAAAGAAAATAGTAAATTTTAAATATTAGACTTAATGTTCTCGTATAATTTTTATCGAGAATTGAACAGCGGATCGTCTGAAATCAAGCATAGTTTTCTATCTACAAACATGAATAAGATAAAAAGAAAGATTCAAATAGATCTTTCTAGATATACAACAAACAGATAATTTAAATCTATAATTGTACAATATAAGATTCAGTTTCAACCTATATCTTTTTTGAGTATTCTAGTATAAGAGAAAGGAAATATGATCAAAAAGCTAAAGATGATCTTCTGATTGAAATGATACCTGTTTGGAGAACCAAAAACAAAAATGTTTTCAATGCATTGCTAAAATCTATTTTAATTATGATTATTTTTTAGTTTATTGATATACTTCTAATAATTCATAAAGCGATAACACAATTTTTTTTTATTAACTTACTTTTCCTTGATCAACAAGTTCTTTTTGAGCTGATGTTGCTGCTGCAATTAATTCACTAGTTGCATTCATTATAGATTTAGCTGCATCAAGAATTTGTTCATCAAAATTAAGATTTTCATTGATTTCCTATATATAGATAAATATTAAACGAAAATATTTATGAAAATAAAATCTAAATCGACGAATTATATCAACATGATTTGAAACTTATATTGTATCAGTTGAATACTTTCATACATATTTATATAAGAATATAGATATAATTCTCATCAAATAAATCAATAGCTCGTGTGATCAAGGTTGTTATATTAAACAAATATGAAACTCGTTTTTTTGTTTTTATCTATTTTTCATTTTCTTCAATTGGCAAACCTTGATCACACGAGCTATTTATTTATTCACATAAGAACAGGATGTATCGATAAGTATTATACAATCTATGTATAAAATGTTTCTGATACCATATAAGTTTCAGAACAGATTGATAAAGAAAAAAAAAACAATTCTAGAATATGACGAATAATTAATTAATGGTGAATCTAAAAAAATACTTTTTTATCTATTATTTGTTGAGATTTGATTTTTACTAAAATGGTTCATCTTTTTAATATGTTCATTTTTTTTTTCGAAACATATTTCAGTTGAACAAATCATATCTTATCAAAATGGAATTACACAATTTCGCCAATTTAACTATGAATTAGATATGGATGAGTGTAAGCTAATATATATATATTCTAATAATATTAGCTTCAGCCCTCACATGTATCCTATACTAATATTATTTCGTTACAATTTTCGAAAGTTTACCCTACTTTCGTCATTTCTTCTAGAGATCTGCTGCAATATCAAAGTGTTTAGAAACTCTTTCTTTTAAAATGCACGTTGAACAGGTTTTTTTTAAAGTATATTTTTCAATTTTATTATTGTTTTCTAGAGGTCTGAATATTTTTGCTTCATAATTGCGCTATTAGCATTGCATTAATTGTCGATTCTAAGGTATTACATAGTCTAATAGAAAGAATCAACTGTTTTCAATGATATTATTTTCAGTATTTTACTCTCAAACTATTCAATTTTAGTTTTATTTTTAAATATCATATTAACATTTGTCTGAGTTTGAATCTATACACTTCCGAGAAGGCATGACATTGAACTGCAGACCGAAGGCAATGGAAGTATGTTTTTGTTTAAATTTGATAGCGAATCACGATTTCTCAGTTCGAATACTAATATAAACCATTTTCTTCTGTAACAATGTAATTGGTTCCCAAGAAATGTTTTATTATATCGTTAAACTAGCTTGTGTACGAAGAAAATCTGCATGTTTGCTTTTTTCATTATATGAAAAACGAAATCGAATAAATTAAATCTGAACCAATAAGACAAATCAAAGAAATCTAATATAATTGTCGAATAAATGTAATAAAATTATAAAAAGTAGAAGAAATAAATTGTGCAGATATGAAAAATATTCGGTCGAATTATGTATCGAACAACCAAATATCAAACATATCATGACAAAAGACTCTTGTTGTTATATTATATGCAATAAAGAACTTCTTTTTTTTGTTTGTCTTTCTATTTACTTTAATTTTTTGACGTGGTTTAAGAGAAGATAATTTCTTTGCTGCTGATTCAATAGATTGAGCAGCATTAAATAATTCATATTCGGCTTTATAACTTGGATCATCAGAATCAATCAAATCAATACCTATTAGAAATACAAAAAAAGAAAATCTACATACATCTATGGATAATTTCAACTACAACAAGACATGATTATCCTTCATGTAACTTTGATTAATTATAATCTCATATAAAAAGATAAAAATTAGACTTCAGAAAACTTTATTATTCAGCAATATATGTATTTTAATTTTACAAGATTATGTCGCTAACGAATGATTTTGTTTATATACATTTGTACAATCAAATTCAATAGAAGTAAATTTTTGTTTTAATGGTTTTTGAGGGCCTATGTATTGTCATTCAGTTTTTGTAATTGTTATAAATAAATATACATTTACGATTAAAGATAAAAGGCCTTGATTAAGGAAATAAAATGACAGAAGTCGAAAATAGAAGAAAATTCAGATTTACAACGTTGTTGGAAATCCTGGAAAATCATACATGAATTTTATAAGATCTGACATTAAGATCATACAAGAATTGTACAGTATGATTTTATCAGAAATGGTGATTTTGCGATGAGTATATAAAATCGTACAAGATCTTGTAATTAGATTGTTTGGCCTGGGAAGGCTTATGAATGAAACGATTATTCAAAAAAAAGGAGGGAAGGACAAGAAATGTTCTATCTCTCGAACACAAAGTCAGATTCAACTTAGAATTTTAGGGTGAATAGTTATAAACAAAATAAGCTAGCAATCAAATGTTCAACTGAAAAACGGGATATTCTAGGTAAGATATAAAAAGAAAAAAAATTAACGCAGAGAAGTTGGCGTTATCTACCATGATACTTGTTTCGCTCGTAACTCTTATACCAAACAGAAACGGCACGGATCCTTTTAGATAATTTATATACATGATTAACTGTGGCCACCAACAAAACATGAGTTCGAACGGTGCGAATCATTTGTGAATATTCCCTCGTCAGGTTACAGTCAGTTTTTTTACTAATTCCTATGGAGAAATGGTTTTAGACTCTTCAGTCAGAATGATATATCTCAACTAAAAAGTGTCCTAGAGAACTAAAAGACGTTTCATTTTGTAGCGAATTGTTTATTCTATCGTTCTATATAATATGAATAATAATATTTTCGTGTGTTCTAGTTAGTGAAAAGTAAAAGGTTAAGTTTTCTAAAGATTCAATCTTTAGGAATTTATGAATTATTTAAATACTTTTTTTCTTGAAAACAATTTTCTCTATTTAAATTACTATTAGAATTATTTTTAGCATTTAAGATTGCACAAAAATAAAAATATTTTTTAAAAATAAACTTTGTTGTACAATTTTAGATAATTATTGTATACATATTATTATAAATTGTTAATTTACTTTTAAGTTTTTCTGCACATTGAACAAGTTCTTGTGTTGATTGTATAATTATTTTTGAATAATTAAATAATTTTTGTTTAATTTCATTTGATGGATTTTGAATTAATATTTGAATTGTTTCTAATAATTCTTTATAATTTTGAACACATATTCGACCATTATCTAATGTACGTTGTTGTAAATATTTATCATCAATTAAATAAATAATTGATTTACAAATAATTAAAAGATCAATTATTGATTTACGACCAAAATTAACTGCATCTATAATATCATCTTGTTGACATGATTGTCCAGCTGATAGAACTTTTGATGTTGCTATTGTAATCTAGATATAATATAAAACAAAATTAAAAAAAAAGAAATCAAATACTTTTTTTTTTTAAAATTATTTTACTTGTTTTGTTACATGAATTAATTCTTCGGGTGTTGTTCGACTTGTTGGTAATTGTCCATTATTAAAAATTTGAAGTTCTTGTGTAATTGATTCAATTGTACTTTCAAGTATATGTATTTCATGTTGTGATTTATCTTCAACCATTTTAACTGTACGTAATAATGATGTTACTTTAGTTACCATAACTTTTGCACTTTCTTTTAATTTTTGCATTTCAGGATCAGTAATATTTTTTCCACTAGCTGTTTTTGTTACATTTATTAAATTATTTAATGCTAAGGCAACATCTTTAACACTATTGATAAGCATAATTTGTGCTTCACTATTATTATTACCTAATGATAATGCACCTAATTTAACAACTGCACCTAGCTGAAATAGATAATAATTTCATATTCAATAAAATTGTCTTATGATAAAATTTTAGATTTCAGTTTTCTTTTTTGCTAAATAAAAATTCATCGAATTTTGCTTAGAAATTTATAAGAATCTTGTCGATTTATTGAAGGATGAACTGATAGCGTGTTTTCGGAGTAAACATCGATCGACAATATATTGATCAAAAATAGAAGACTAATGTATTTTTGATTTTGTTCTACTACAATACTAAGCATTTAAGTGTAGCATCCACTTTTAATTCTCTGCAAGAGTACAACCGATCGGATTCAAAATTTTCCCATAACTAGACTATCCTTACAATCCTAGTCTTAGTTTATCCGATCAGACTGAAATTTTTTCTGATGATATCTGGAATGAAATCTCAAAGGTGTTTTTAAGTTTTCAGAGGAATATCAATTTCACCATTTCTATTTAGAAAAATAATTAAAAATCGAGAGATTGATACTTTTCAAAAAGCTCAAAAAAAAACGCCTCTGAGACTTTTGCCTTAGTTATCTTTAGAAAAAATTCCAACTCAACCGGAATCTTTAGCAGACCAATAGTTTTTGAGAGTCCCTTCAAAAGCCACTGATGATCTACTTTTAAAATTATTTCCTCGAACATGAGCCCCCACAATTTTTAATAGTCTAGCTGTGGTAAAACTTTGAACTTGACCAACAGTATTCTATCAGAGAACCAAAAAGTAGTCCAAAACAAGAGAGAATATGGTACCCTTAACTCAAATCTAAATGGTAATTTCAATAGCCAATGAAGTTGTCTATCAAATGCATTCCATACCGAAGTTTTGTAGATGAACTATAAGAAGAAGATTTCCGAAAAATTAAATACATTAGCTTTCGAGTTTCAGAAGACTGTGTGAAATTAATTTTTAAGAGTACTACATTAAAGAACATAAAAGTCTGAATAAAATAAGAGATTATTGTGTTTCCTACGGCTTTTCCTTAAAAAATTATAAGCATCACAAAGCGAAATTTGTCATAGCATTGCTGAAAATCTGCTAAAAAATACATTTTTGTGAAGCTTATAACTTTTTAAGAGGAGGCCATAGGAAATGTAGTATATTCAGACTAGTAGAAAAAACTGATATTACTAATTTTCCAAAAAGGTCATCATTTGTCTTGGTTTTCGCTAGATTTCAAATTTTGATAAAAAATTTTAGTTCATACATACATAAACCTTTTCAATTGAAACAATAAAATTTATATCTAGAACTATGTCTATGATAAAATTTTTAAAAAGAAAAATTTCTAAATTAATAATAGATTTTTACTAAAGTTCTTATGACTAAAGAAAACTTAAATGATAAGAAATTATTTTTTTACCTTAGTGATTGTTCGTACAGCTGCTTGAGCTGCTGTTGCTAATTGTTCTTGTGATGATGCTGCACCAGCAACTAATGTTTTTGTATCTTCAACAAGTATTTTAGCTGTTTTTAAAATAGCTTCACGATGATCCGAAAAAGTTTCATTGACATGTTCAGAATTTAAAGTACCCGACGTAGTAAATAAAATTCTTGTATCCTATTTTATTTTTTTGTATAATGATAAATAATAGTTTTAATAATAAAAAAAACAAATCTTACTAAATCTGTGATAATAGTATTAATCGTACTTGAAGCATTAATACAAGCTTGTATACCATGTACACTTTCTTGTAAAACAGTTACAACATAAGAAATCTAAAGAATAATAATTGATAAAAAAAAAAAAAGGAAAGGATTATTAATTAGACAAAAAGAACAAGAATTACTTTTTCAATAATTTTTTGACATAAAATATTTAAATCATTTTTTATATTATTTTGTCCTAATTTATCAATTAATTCAATTGATATTAAACCTAAATCTTGAACTATATTTTTAATATGTATTGATAAATCATTTGTATTTGCTGTACCAATAGCACCATATGTAATATTTATTAATTCATTATATTGTCGTGTTAATTGATTAGCTAAATAACGAATATTATCAGAATTATTTATTTGTTCAATTGTTATAATCATTTGTTGTAATATTTCAATCATACGAATTTGATAATCAATAAAATAACCTTGATGTGTTAATTTTGTTGTATCTAATGTTAAAATTAATTTATGTATATTTTCACATAAACCATTCATTATACCAATTGTTGATGTTTGTTCATCAAATATATGAATTAATTTATATATTAATTTTATTAATAAATCACTATTATTATCAACTATTTTATGCCATTGTAAATTTTTTATATTTCCACTTGATTCTTTTGTACTTAAAATTAATTGTAAACTTGTTTCAACAAGTGATTTTATTTGTTCTAATAAAAGAATTTTTTCATGTCTATATATTATATATGATACATAATTAATTGTATGATGAATAAATGGTTCTAAATATGTTATAAATTGAGATACATATGAACTAATACATTCAGGTTCACATTTTGATGATTGACGAATATTATTAATGAGTTCAGTTAGAAAATGTGAACTTGATGAAATTTGTTCTTGATGAAACTAGAAATATAAATTATTGCATTTTATAAATGATTAAGTAAAAAAGATGATAAAGAAATGTATTTCAAAATAGATAGAATGAAACAATCTTCTTGTGATTAGCACAAACAGTTATATCATGTTTTAATTCCATAGAGATTGCTGTTAACAGCTTTTTTTTTGAAAGAATTCGTTTTTTTCAAGTATTATTTGTTTGAATTCTCTGAAACGACAATTTTAAAATTCATATACAACTTATGCATTTGAACCTATTATTTTCTTCAATTGATTTATACAAATCAAACGAATAGAATCTGTCGAGTTCTACGTGTTCGAACGAGAGATACAAGTTCCGATTAATACCATATAATACTATGTTTTTCTTATAGTACAATCTTTATTGATTTTTTTTATGCAGTTTGTGTGAATGATGTGAGTATAGTATACAAGATATTCCAAAAGTCCACCGAAAATATAAAACTTGAATAAGGGATGCAATGGTGACGGTGTATCTGCCTTACGTACAGCTTTGCACTATTCGAAACATGTAAGTATAGAATAACGATAAAGATAGTCAACGGCTAATAAAACTATGATGGTCTTAGATTGATTTCAGTCGGAGTGGTCATTTCAAAAAAAATAGCTGAATTATATAAAAATAGACTAAAGATCTTCGGAGTCCAGAAGTTCGAATCCATAAAAGATTTGTCGAAATTCTCGAGTTCGATTTGCTCGTTCGAGAAAGGTATAGTCTTCATGGGTTGATCATGTTTTATATTCTCTATATACATGTCTAGATTGATGCACTGGCCTATGATGACACAGGTGATCACCGTCGCTGTTGTACTCCAAACTGAAATAATTCTTCAGCAGTTCACTCAATTTATATGGGACTTTTATTCAAAATATTTCAGATAAAATATGAACATAAGGATATAAAGAGTTCTATTAGTAGCCAAATTTGAACCATCTACAATCATACAAGAGAAAAGTGTTAGTCGAATTTCATAACTAAGTATCTAATAAAGATGATATTAAAGAGTTCTCTCAATAGTTTTATCAAACTAATATTATAGTAGACTAGACACATTCTGAATGTCTTACAGTAATAATAGAAGAAAAAATTTCTAAAGTTTATAATTGATATTGATATCAAATATTTCATTTATTTGTAAAGTTTGTATACTATTCGAATTTTTTTTTTCTATAGATTTCATTTCAAAAATTGAATCTAACAATTGCAATATTTTGAATAACTCTTAAATCTATTGCTTATCTTGTTTCATAAAAATTAGATGATATCATAGACGACATCAATCTATCTCATTCCTTCGATATAATCAAAGATTTTGCTCTACGTATAATTGTTTTCATGATTATGGAATAGATCCTTTTTGATATACTAAGCAAAATCAATATATTGTCTCAAAATTTTTTTTTGTAAAAGTCTTTTGTAATTCGAAAGTTTAACTGAACTCGTGTACTACAGTATTATAATTTCAAATAGTCTGAATTCATCATAGATTAGATTGAGTATTTAATTTGTAAAACTTATTTATAAAATGTTATTCTTTAAAATCTTTTGTTTTTGCATGCAATAATAGATAGAAAATATCAAACCTGAAGAGATTTATCTCCTTTACGTAATGAATCGACATTTATAATAGCTTTATCAACTTCTTGAAAAAGTTTTCGAAGTTCTTCAACAGCTCGTTCACATTCTTGTTGTCCAGGTGTCATTTCTCTGTTTCGAAAAAAGACAATATATATATATACATACAAGTATATTTTCATCAAAATAAATACACATACTTAACACATGTTGCTAAACGTTTAATTGCTTCTGATACAGTCTTTGTATGTGTAGCAAGTTGTTGCCATAATGATGCATCTTTTGCATTAATTATTAATGCTTTTGAACATTCAATAATACGACATGCACCATCAACAACATTTCTAGCAGCTAATAAAATTGGTTCTTGTAATTGACGTCCCTTAAAAGAAGAAAATTGATTGATTAATTAAAATTTTCAAAAAGAGAAAAATAAAAAACAAGAATCATACAGCAGAACTAATCGTTGGTGGTGTACTTGCAAATTCTTTCGACATAGCAAATGTATAAAGTTCATCAATAGCTTGAATTAATGGACGACTTGTTTCAATACAATGTCGATGATTTTCTTGTGTATATGAACTATCCAATATCTTGAAAATAAAAATCAATCAAAGAATATTTTCATAACAAAACAAAAAATTATATATATATATATATATATATATATACTTTAATTGTTCGAACAAGTTCAGCTGTTGCATTTGCTACATCTTTAGCTGATTGTACAAAATGTCGTCGAGACATTGGATTATTTGTATTTGATGATGCTTCACGTGAAACATTACATAGAGCTGATGTATTTTTAGCAATAGTTGCTGCTAATGTTAAAATCTTAACAAAAAACAAAAACAAAAATAATAATAGAAGATAATCATAGAAATCTGTGTAATGCTTTTTTTTGTTCAATATACATTGCAAAGAATTTTATGTACATCTTTTTGTCTAAAGAGAATTTTAGGATTTGTATCTATTCATTTAACGATATAATATTATGTAAGCTGTGTTTCACAGCACAGTTCCCTATGGATTTAAGTACTGGGATTTATATAGACTCTGTTGATCTATCGGATAAATGAGATGTATCATAAGTCCAAAGAATACTCTAAAAATGCTTGTCAGAGCAGCTTCTTTGAAGCTAAAATGTGGAACTCACAAAACGATCTGTCTTATTTTTTGTTTGCCTTGTTGCTTTTTATTTTTGTATTTCATTGTTCTTAATTTAACTAGTAAATAATCCTGTTGTACATTTTCATTATATTTACAGCAGATCTCAACCTATTAATATATATCACGATAGGCTCAGTGACACTAATATTGATTATATCTATGAAGTTATAACTTGATCAATTCATGCTTTTTATGTTTATCATATGACGACTGTAGCAAATCAATGCATCATCCTTGATATCTTAAATATAAATTTTTATCTGCACAAAAATCTAAAACTACACTATTGAGAACATGTAAACTTTGAGAAACACTTTCGAATATTCTACAACACTCTAAGTCTTGTTAGTCATGCTGTTCATCGCCTTTTTTCATTGCTAAGGAACTCTGAGAAAGAACTTACTTTGATGCTCGGTGTAGAAACATACATAATAATCGTTAGTTTCTCCTTCCCGTTACTATGAGGGGAACTGCAAAACCTCAACTTAAAACTTACACTCACTATACTGTTCTTCAAAAAAGCCATAATGTAAGTTTCACACAAGTAGAATAACTTGAGCAAGAGATACATTTTCGTTTGTTTATCTAGCGTCAATATTTGTTGCCTACTGTTCTGTGATTGTTATTAAGCTTTTAGAATTCCTTTGATTTTTAACGTTCATTATCTACATATTCTCATACTCTCGTAACTTTCTACTCCAATTCATCATATAAAATTCAGAAATAGCTCTTATATACTTCTATTGAATTTAATCTATCAATCGAGCTGTAAGGAATGTTCAGATTAAAAATTTTTATCCAGTATATTACACAGAAATTTCAAAATACTAACATCATTTTGATCAATTGATGGATTTGATAAATCTGAACATGCATGTCGAATAGCTGTAACAAATCGATTGAATAATAATTGATCAACAATAGCTTCCGTTTCTTTTGTTGATGTTACTTCTGATATACCAACAAGATAACTTGCCTAAATATTCAAATCAAAATAATAATAAAAAAAAAAAACAATTTTTAAATACAATAGAATTTTACTTGAGCTGATGATTCAACTAAACGACAAACAGCTTTTGATGCATCATGAACAGCTTGTATAAATAATTGATGATTTGTATTTTTTGATGCACTAGCAATATGTGTCATAGCTTCACCTAAACGTTTAGAATTTTCTACAACACTATCTAATGCTTCGAAATATGTATAATTAGCACATGGTTGTAAAACAGATTGTTGTAATAAATTTTTCGATGTTTCAATTTCTCGTATAGCATTATCACATTCAATATGTTCAATACTTATTGCTGATTTTGGTACTAGACATGCTGTTATAACATCATTTATAGTTTCAGTAACTGCTCTAGAAAAAAACAAAAACAAACAAATGAAAATAAATATAATTAGAAAAAAAGAAAAAAGTTCATTTTGTTTTATTTCTCTTTTTTTTACCTTGCTGCATTAGCTAATTGATGTTTTATATCATTTTCATTTATTGTAATTGGTTCCATAGATATTGATTTAGCACGTTCTAATAATTGATTTGATGATGTATGAACATTTTTTAATGATATTATTAAACGTGATCGTTTTTCATCTTCTTGTTGATGATTTACAAAATCAATACCATTATCAATAAAATCTCCAAATGCACGACTAAAATGTATTGATGTTTTAGCTAAATCTTGTGTAACACCTGTATGTGTACTTATAACTAAATCATGTGTTGCTTGATTAAGAATAGCTGCTGAACGACTTATATCATCAGAATTAATTGATGTTAGAGAAAGTTTTCGATCATATGGACCAGCTAATGTATAAACATATTCAGACATTTGTTTAATAGCTTCATTAAAATAACGTTGAGATATTATATTAGATAAACAAGAATTTAATGTTAATGAAAGATCATGTCCTATATTAGATAATCTATTTTGTTCATTTGATGTTTGTATAGTTTTTTTAGATTCACATATAAAATGAATAAAACGTTGAAGTATATCATATAAACGTTCAATAATTGTTTCTTGAATTTGATGATCATTTGATATTGCTATTATATTACGTGTACAAATAATTAATATTCGAAGATTTTGAAGAATATCATGTATAGAAAGTTCGATAGTTTTTTCATCGTTCTAAATGATTTAGAACAAAATATCGATTAGAGAACAACAACAACAACAACAACAAAAAAAAAAGAAATCTACTTGATTAACAGCATTGATTAGTTGAAATATGATTGAATTTAATTGTTTACAAATTGTAGTAAATTGTGATGAATATACATCGATCTAATAAATAAAGAAAGATAATTTAAACAAAAAAAAAAACAACAGAAAATACCGTTTCATCACATTTAATTTTTAAATTTCCATCATTTACTTGTCGTTTTATATCTTTTAATTCTATTTCAAATAATTTAATTGTTTCAATAATTGATTCAATATCTAATGATATTGAATTACATAATTCTTTTGCCTATAAATATTCTTATTATCAATGAAATTTATAACAAAAAAAAAAAAAAAAAAAAAAAAAAAAAAAAATTTTTTTACTCGATTAAGACAAACACGTAGATCATTTAAACCTTGAATTAATTGTTTTGAACTATTATTTAAATGAAGTACTTGAGATTGATCATGAATATTTGATACAATATTTTTAATAAGATTAGTTAAATGTATTGCTGGATTAAGAAAATCTTCACATGTATAACATAAATTATATTGATATGCATATGAATCTGGTTTAATTATACTTGAACGAATACATTGAACAATTTTTGGTATAAGATCAGCAATAATTTTACATTGTTGAATAAGTTCTTGATATGATTGATGATGTTTATGTATTATAATTGAATTTGATGTTGCAGCAATACATTGTGTTGCATATGATGCACAATATTTTGCACATTGTTCAACACGTTTAAATATTTTACGTTTAATATGATTACTTGTTGCCATATTTGTTGCTAAACGAAGTTCTTCAACAGATTTTTTTAATTGATATTGAAGTTGTGTATCATTTGGTTTTGTTGCACAATATTTAGCTGATTCAACCATTTTTGCTGTTGCATCAGCAAGCATTTTAGCAGTTGATAAAATTTTTTTTTGTTGATTTGTATCATCATCAACAGATTCAGCTTGTTGTCTTAATGATGAAACAAGTTGTGCAGTTGATTGTGCTAAAATTTTTGCTTGTTTAACCATTTCAGATGTATCACCAACAGATGAAAAAAGACGATCACTTGCAATTAATATTTGATCAATTGATTCATCATGATATTTTTCTTCATTTTCTTCATCAATTTCTTCAATTTCATCATGTAATATCATTCGATGTGTTAAAGATTTTGTTTGTCCATTTGTAATAGGAGAAAATATTCTATCTGAACTTGTTGCTATATTATCTGTTACTAATTTAATATGAAGTAAAAATTCATTGAGAGCTTTACGAACTGTTCGTCCAGCTTCTTGTAATTCAGAATATGATGATTCAATAATAATAGGTGGTAAACATGATTGAAGAACAGCTTCTATTGAACGTGTTACATTACGAGCTGATTCAATTAATTGTTCTTGACATAAAGGACTTGACATTGTGGCTGCAACAACCTAAAAATTTATTGAAATTTTTTTTTTTCGTTTTTATGTTACAAGATAATTTAAATAAATATAGTAGTCGCACAAAAAGTACCTAGAAATTTAATTCTTTAGTCTCATAGTTTGGTTATAAGCAGAGCAAATTAAATTCTGATTATAGATTTTTTTTTCTTCTTCAGACGAGGATATCTCAGCATGGAAGACAAATCTCATGATGTTAGACTTCTCATCCGATAGCTTAGTGTTGTCTGTATCATCAATAAAAATTCTATATCAAACGGTTTTTGTTCGCCTGATTTATAAAGCAATCTCTACATGAAAGTGGATGAGAATTGTCGAAAAGTGATCTATATTTAATTATTTGTCTTAAAATTTTCTTCAATGAGTGTTCTGCTCTAAGCAAGTTTTTGCTTGAAAATTTCATGATCGCAACCATCGATGGAGAAGAGATACCTACTGACACCATCCTAGACAATAGAGGCTTTCCTGCGCTTCAAAATTACGGTAGACTGAGCACTATTTTTAGTTAAAATATCAGGCAAGAGGATTCAAGTTTTATGTACTTTTTATCCGATAGCAAGACTTCTTACAACTATAGTAGTGGACAAAAGTCTCTGCATTAAAAGATCTCAGCCAATATAAATGCTGGAAACTTAGTCAAGAGTGTAGACAAATAGACACAATTCTACTTTAATGGCTTAAGTACAAAGAGAATTATGATGGATGACATCTTGTCTTTTTTTGCATTAAGCTGTTTAATCTGAAAAGAACTGCTATGATCACTATTTGCATAGAATGTACTATCCATCATAATTATCTTTCTACTTAAGCAATCGAAGTAGAATTGTGTTTCTGCCCTACACTTTTGATGAAGTACAGATACATAACTTTTTTGAAATCTCTAGTGAGAAGACTTTGATCTACTATTATAAATAAATATTTCAACTAACTTTAGTACAAGCAACTAATTGTGATGTAGCTAATGCACATTGTGTAGCCGTTGAAATAATTTCATTAACAATTTGTTGTTCTTGTATATTACTTGCAATATCTTTTGCTTTAAGTATATATAATGCTGTTGTATTAGCAACAGATTTTGATAATGATAATAATTTATCTTGATATTCAATTGAATAATTAAAATTATTTGTTAAATATCGAATAAGATCTTGATTAATTTCACCAAGATGACTTGCTGTTAAAAGAACATTTTGTCTTGTTGTTGAATCATAATTATTTTCAAATAATGTTTTTATACATATTAATAAATCATTAAATGTTATACATAAACGATGTATTTGATCAAATAAATTTGTTTTATCATTAATTATATTCATATAAATATTTATTTCTTTAGAAAATTCATTTATATTATCTGTTATTGTTGTTATAGCTGTATTTAAAGAATGATTATAATCAATATAATTTCGACGATGATTATTATTTATATCAGATGTTAAAATAATAATATGTGCTGTTGAAGCATTTATTATTGATAATTTATTAGCTAATAATTGACGACTTACATCAAGACGATTTTCAATTGAATATTGATGTTGATGATCCTTAAGAGAGAAAGAATAATCATAGCAGAAAAAGAAAAAACTAGAAAAGCTATTAGTACAATCCCTACAGAATTAAAATATGAAATCTTATACAGTTGTTATTGCTCATCATAAGAAAATTGTTCTATTCTATCTATTTTGAGACACATGTCTTTACTTTCTCTAGATATGCAATAAGGAAATAGTTCATATATATATATATTAATAACATCTGACACAATCTTTGATGTTTCTATGGTTATATCAGTGATAAGCTGTTTTCAATGTATCTATGATAGTCTGCAGAAGTGCAAATTTTTACTGAATATACTTCAATACTTTATTTTTTTAGTTTGTATTTGACAAAAAAAAAAACTATGAAAACAAACCATCATAGATGATAATGATTGAGTTTGTTGAGTATGTTCTATTTGTAATTCACGTGCTAATTGTGTTTGAACTGTATTAATAATATTTCGAGCATTTTCAATTGTTGAAAAAAGCATTATACTATCATTACTATGATGATTATTAGATAATAATTTTGGTTGTTCCTATATTAAGAAAAAATTTGAAAAAATAAATAAGAATTTTTTATTTTACATGAATTTGTGAAGGAATATAATCTTGTTGTTGTTGTTTTAGTTGTTGTTGTTGATGATGATCATCAGAATGGTTTGCACTATCTTAAAGAAAACAAAAAAAAATGCATTCATTATTAAGATCAAAAATTATAGAAATACATATTAAATTTATTTAAGTTATTCTATATAAGAGGAGCGAGTCAGGTTTGCAAAAATCAAACAATCGTTCTATCTATTACAATATAATCGATACTATTGCTTGTTGAAAAAAATCAATAGACAAAAAAAAAAAATCTTTGTATCTTACATATTTACGATCATTGTAATCTCTTGTCTGATTCATCGACTGTAACAGTCAGATATGGTTGTCACACTTTGTCGGAAGAATGAATAGAACTTTTTTTGATATAACAAATATTTATCGAAAGATTTATTATATACTCTATTAAATGAACACATGCTGAAATCTCTATTTACGGTCTACTTCATGTTCAGAAAAGTCATCTAAACGATAAGCACGAAGAAAGTTAAGTGTGCAAAAAGAAATGAAGGTAAATATGACGTCTATTGAAAGATCAATAAATGTATATGAGTGTGGGTGTTAGTTTTCTCTCTTCATCACCACCCACATTCTTACCATCTATCTCTGATAAGTATTTAGTGAAAAGTTAGTGATATTGAGATATATACTTAAATACATTATATTACTCATCATACACCGTTATGAGAGTTTGCAAAAGTAGATGTGAAAGAACTCAATCGACATAGGAAGTACGACTTCTCTGATTTGTCTTTACTATTCTGCTCGATTTTCATAGGTTGAAAGTACACGAGTCATAAAAAAAATGTCGTTATGATTGTCTGATCAAAAACAAAATAAAAGCAATTGATTGATAAATCAATTTCTATTGAATAAATAACTTCTTTTTTTTTTTTATTTAATGAAGAAACAATATTACTTTAGTACTTTTTTTTACATTATTTTAAAAATGAATTAGTTAGAGAAAAGAAAAGTATGATTAAATAGTATACCTGAAAATGTTCCACGAAGTAATGGTGCTGAATAAACATTTTTTTGATGTACATGATCAAATGCTGGACGATTTGGTTCAATAATTGTTGCTCTAAGAATAAAATTAATAATACTTTTGAAAGGATCCGTCGAGATAAGTGATCGATCTTGAACCAGTTGCAGCACATTAAATGGTATATAAGAAATTAAATTTTCCTCAAATTTTAATGTGCTGTGGGTTTCTACATTAGTTATAATCTATGAGGAATAAAGATGGTAATCATAGACATTGTGCTCTTCAGTTTTTAATAATCAATAATTTCCATTATTGCTTTCTTTATACCGAAAAAAGGGTCTCTTTTCTTATGTCTAAATGGTTATGGTTTGATTACTTAATATTTCATTATGTTCAAGTCTGTGTTACAGAACAAGTGAGTACAAATATGAAACTTTTTCAAAAATTACACACTATTGAGTTTTAAATGTTGCATAGATAAGATCTTTCGGAATAGCATGGACGCATTGTCATCTTGCAAGATTGTCTCCTAGAATAGTCTGTTTTTCTATATGCAGAGGCTGCTATATTAACGATATTTAATAATACTCAATGGTCTTATTAAAAATTTTTATATATCAATAATCAACATAGCATGCCTGATGAACTAATATAAATAACTCCTTTTATCAATGGAAAAGTTCTTTTTGACCTCTGAATCCGTGGAGAGAGTGCGGAAATACAAAAAAAAAAAGTTATTTTTGAATTGAACATAAGATAATAATAGATTCTTCTTGAGTTACATGTATAAATCAAATCTGAATACTCGGAATAAAAATTTGACAAATGAAATAATAAAAATAACAGATCTTCTTCGTGCAAATCTATTTTCATATCTTCTCCAGGAATGTGAAGGTCAAAATTTTTTTCCTACTGTAAAGACTATTAAAATATCGTTAATATATTAGCCCGTGCATATAGAAAAATAGGCTATTCTAAGAGACAATCTTGTAAGTTGACAATAAATCCCTATTGCTTTAAAAGAGACTACCTGTGAAACATGTAGCGCACGATAGAGTGCAATTTTTGAGGAAATTCATGTTGGTAAGCACTTGTTCTGTGACACACGCAGTTGAACACAAGGGAATATTAAATAGCCAAGGCATAACCTAGACCTGAGAAAAGAAACCTTTTTTAGGTATGAAGAAAGCAACAAGGAAAAACTATTGTTTATTGAAAATTGAAGAACAACTATAATTATATCGAATTGAGTTTAAAAACTACATTTGTATAAGTTTATCTTAAGGATTTATAAAATTTGATTTCTCATATACTATTCGATGCACCACAAATTCTTCTACAAAACTATATATATATTATCCTGATTCAAGATAGGTCACTAAATCCGATAGAGTTTTTTTTTTTAAATAAAAATCTTACTTTCCAGGTGCAATAATATCTTCAATCATAGTTGCTTCTTCATCAATAATATTATCTCCAACTGTTTTATCTTCTCGATCTTTTCTCTAAAAAAAAATCAATCATTATATTTTTTTTTTTAATATATAGAAATTAATGAAGAAAAAAAACCTTTTTTAAAACAATATCAATATAACCAGCAATTAATTGTGATATTTGTTGACCTTCATTTGTTTGCACTGAATAATAAGCACTTGCATAATCACCAAAATCCTATTAAGAACAAAAAATAAAAAAATAAAAGAACACATGTATTCAATTATTTTCTTGTAAAATCTTTTTTTTTTTGTCTATACAAGTGTAAATGTATTTGGTGATGCTGTCCATCGTTTAACATGTGTCAATGGCCATACTTGAATAAACTATATATATATATATAATAAAGTATTTAAATCTAAGTAATACAAAAAAAGAAAAATCTCTCACATCTTTTGTTCTTTCATCAACACGAACAATTGATTCTTTAGTAACACCAAGAAGACGTGGTACAAGTTTATTTTTCCCAGACATTTTTTCCTAATTAAATTTATAATAAATTATTTGTTGAACATTATTTCTTTTTTTTTATTTTGTTTTTATTTTAATTACTTTTACAAGAAAAAATGTAACACCATAAGTTCGTAATGAACGACATAATTGTGTATATTTAGCTTTTCCATCGAGTTCGGATATACCAATATGTTTTTTATGTTCCTTTAAAAATTTAAAAATAAATGAATAATTAAAATAGATAAGATAATTTTTATTATAAAACTTACTAAGAAAATTTTTTTTTCAACATTTTTTGATTTTGCATATTCTTTTGGTAAAAAATCTCGTATACTAAAAGTATAAATATAAATCAAGAGATAAAAATACTAATATAATATTTTATTTCGGAAATGTCAATAAACAATATTGAACTGATGACAGCATACATAATGTACGAGACTGAAACTAAACCTTTCTTTTTCGGAAGATAAAAATAGATGAAAAAAGAAAAGCATCATCAGGATCCTTCGTACGTCGTCATACTGGATCAAATCAAACCTCGATCAATTTTATTTTAGTGTTACACATTAGAGCGAGTCTTATCTCATTAAACACATTTTAGTGAAAGAAGGATTAAGAGAAGTTGTATTGGTTCATATAATTCTCAGAGACGTTAGCCATTCCGCTAGCGAGGAAACCTCACCAGGTGGCCGCTTTTGATTTCAACGAATTTTTTGTCTATAGATACCACATAATGTTCTAATAAAAAACCCCTAAAAAAAGCGTTTAAATTTCCTATTGAGACTTAACGTAGCTATTAAATTTTTAATATGTCTATTTACTAGAGATCTTCTGTAAGACTATGGGTTTTTGGAAATATTGTGTCTTTGAATCATATCGCCATTTTGAAGGTCTCATACACAGCAGTTTGTATATAGAGATATGAACCTTCAGCATAGCAATAGTTTCAAGATAAAATTCAGAAAATACAATTTTTCCGAAAATCTGAGATTCTACAGAGTTCTCTAGCAAGTAGATAAATTGAAAGTTCAGTATCTCCGCCAAGACTCCATAAGAACTCACATCCTTTCAAATTTTTCATTAGAATACTATGTAGTTTCTATAGACAAAATATTATTGAAATCGAAAGGGGACATCTGCAAAGATGTCCTCGCAATCGAATATTTTGCTCATTATTAGAATAGTGGCGTAACCAGAAGATCATGGGTGGTAGGGCAGTGTCCTGTGACTTTAGAGGACAACTATGAAATATAATGTCAATGATGGTAATTACTACGTTTTTCTTTCTTCCGTTGATAGGGCGGTGCCTGAACTAGCTCACGCATAGTTACGTCACTAGGTTCAAGACGTTGACAATTTTAAGATGAGATGCTAGTTTTTCATTTGAAAAAAATATATCAAAATCGATCTATAACGAAGATTAGAATTTAGTTTTATTCGCTTCAGTAAGCTATACACTTTTTTGTTTTATAATATATTCTTTGATAAAAAAAGCAATGTTTAATAATATATGTTTAATAAATTTTTCTATATCTTTCTTACTCAATAATTCCTGGTTTATGTTTTGATTCTTCATGATCTCCAAATTGTATTTGACATTGTAAACCAGAAAATTGAATAGCTTCATCATAAGTTACTGGATGTGTTCCATCGATAATTGCATTTCGACACTAGTAAATGATAATAAAAGAAAAAAAAAAAAAAATTTTTTTTTTGTCTGTTTTTTATTTTAATTATTTTTTTCATACTTGAACATAGAGTAAATTAAGTTGTACAGGATCACGTTGATCAATATTAGTATCAGAAAAAAAATATTTTCGTCGTAAAACGACAGTATTGTGTTCATCTATATTCTGTTGACGAAGCGTTTTTGATTGATCAAGCCATAAAGCTAAAATAGTTAAATTACAAAACAATATAATTAAAGTTTATATTTAACAAATTTACTATCATCATCTGTATGACATTTTTTTCGTAATTCTTCCATTTTTTTATCTGTTCGTTGTAATGATCGATCCTAGAATTAAAAACAAAAACAAATGATGTTAATCAAAAATTTTTTTTATTAAATATAAATTCAAATTACTCGAAGAAGAGTTGCTGTTTTTGTAGTATTAATACAATCATAAGAATCAAGATCATAAACTAATGAATATTCATCATAATTAGCAATACCAAATTTCGTACATATATAAACCATTAATTGTGCAACAATTAATGAATCATCAATAAGAATTGTTTTAACAGTACCATCAAGTAAACGAATTTTAAGTGGACAATATCGATTCTTATATTCAACATGATCCTATAAAAGAAAAAGAAAAGTACAAACACTCAAAAGATTTCAAGATGTTTTCTTTGTAATCATACTTCATTTTTTAAAACATAATAATTCAAAGTCTTTGTTGGATCAAGCCAATAGCTTCTCGATGACTGTTGAGTATCATTAATAAAAAGCCCATATTCTGATGCTAAAAGAAAATATTTAAAAACAAAAAAAAATTTTTTTTTTCTTATAAAAGAAAGACAAAAATTAAATATTTTTTCCTACGATCATGATCAATTGTCATTAGTAAATGTTGTTGAATATTATAACATATATCACTAATTAACATTTGAACATCAAATTGCATTGAATGAACAATATTATCATGTGGAATATGTATATTTAATGTAATCATATGTTCACTAGTATGATTATTTCCATTCATTATTGTTGAATTATTATTTTTTATCATTATTCTATTATTATTATATATTCGATGATGATAGTTTTGCTGTTCGTTATTTTGAGTTGTTTGTTCGTAAACATACTTCTAAAAAGAGGCAAAAACAAAATTGATAAAAGAAGAAATTGAATCCTTTATTCAAAGAATGTTTTTAGAAGTGAAAAACACAAAACAAACGAACTTTGATGATTATTACTTTTACTATTCTTTCAGGAAATCTTTTTTTGATTGTAAATGAATAAGAAAAGAAAAGAACAAATCAATGCGCATACAACGCCTTCGACTAACAGCAAACATAGTGAGTGTGTGTGTGTGTGTGGCCCCTGTTATGTGGTGTTCAATGGTTCAGAGGAAAAGAAAGAAAAACGAAGAAAAAAAAAAACTGTTCTCTTTTCTTTCTGCCTGTCCTGTCCAGTCAACAATGAACTTCTTGTTTTTCTTTCTCTCGTTCTTTTTCTGCTCTTTAGTATACTTAACCAAGTAATGACTATTACAATAGTTGTAGTTAGATGACGAGATATAAATGGCACTCGTATGCGTACACGACGCAACAGGCGTTTAGTGCATGTCTACGATTGTACAAATGATAACGATCGTTTCTTAATGAACAATTCTCATTTCTTTTAGCGGATTGATTCCTGCTGAAACAACACTGTCCTTGACTTCTATTTGCATTCATTTTTCTTCTCCGTCTTTCTCTCTCTCTCTGTCTTTACAAAAGACCAGTAGATAAATGATTAATTGACATTTAACAATCAATAACAATATTAAACTTTAGTAGAAAGCAAAAAAAAAAAAGAAAAGAAATGGAAACAGTAATAACAAATGAGAAATATTTTAATCGCTAGCAGTCAAATATTGATGTAATATATCGGCTTGTTCATGTTGATCATTATTTAACCATTTTTCACGTATATGTAATCTTATTTGTTCATTATCAATTAATATATAAGCAATCATTGCTTTATCATAATGATTTTTATTAAAAGTATTAAAATGAAATTTTTTCCATATATTTTTTCTTATTATCCAATTATCTTTAATACATTGTATAATATTTTTATTATTAATATCAAATAAAAAGACATTTTTTAATAATAAATTCCATGCTTGATAATCATTTTTATTTTTATTATAATCTAAATAATCAAATAATCGATCAAATATTTCAATTGAATTATTTATTTCTTGACAATAAATTAATACATATGGTGATGAACTTGGATCTAAATCAATTAAATTTTTTAAATAATTTATATTTAAATTAAACCAATAATTATATTTATATGCATTTATATATGTATGATGTTGTTCAATATATAATTCTAATATAGAATGAATTTGTTCAATATTTGTTTCTGTTATATAAAGAAAATAAAGATATTTTAATAGATATATATCATAATTATCAAAATATTCATTTGATAAAAATTGTATTTCATGAAAATTAGTTGTTAATTTAAATGTCCATAATTCTAAATCACGTTCATTATCTAAAGATATTTTAATTTTATTTATAAATGGATTAATTATTGTTTGAATTAATGAATAATTATTTAACCATTGTCTATAATCATATAAAAAATGTAAATTTATTAATAATAATTGTTCAAATTTTGGATTAAATTTTTCAATATATGTTACATGTTTACATCGACCTGAATTAAATGGTTGTGGAAGATTTTTATAACGTGTTTCAATATCATTATATAAAAATATTGTTTGAGGATTTATTAAATATAAACATAAATATGAATAAAATGTTTGTGTACGATTTATTGTTGGTGAATGAAATAATATTTCAAAAATTTGTGGTAATAAATTTAAATTTATTTGATTATCTATATGAAAATTTTCAATTAAATAACGAAATATAAATTGCCAATAAAGACGTATATATGAACGACAAAATGATGATTGTAAAAGATATTTTAAATAATAAAGTATATTTGTCCATTGATGTTTCATTGCATAATGACGAAGTATTAATAATAATGAACGTATTTGATCATCATGATTTATTGTTATTAATTGTTCAAGACGTGTTAAAACTTTTCCATTTGAATACATACGTTTTGATGATATTAAACCTGTATATATATCAGATTGATATCGACCAGAAATTTTCGTTCGACATGGAATTTGATTTGAAGAAGAAAATAAATCAATATCATTATTATTCTCTAGTGGAGTTAGTTCTGATAATAATGATGATGATGATGATGATGACGATGATGAACGATGTAGACGTTTTGTCATGATATCTATAATGGGTGATCTCTCAAACATACATGCAAATTCATCATTAAATTATTTCTTTCTCCTCGTGCAATATAAAAGCTTTATAATTTTTGGAGAAATCTTACCTCTTTAATAATTTCTCGATGGAAAATCATTGGAATTTATATGAAAAAAGATAGACGTGAATGTATAAAACTGAGAATCAATGTGAAATAATAAACATAATAATAATAACAAAAGATAGACAAAGAAATATATTTGCTCGATAGTAAGAAGAGAACTATTGTAATAGTGTTACTGATTAATATTCATGTTTGTATTACTAAAGACAAATTCATTCTTCTTTTCTTTTTTTTTCTTTCATTCTCTCGTCAAAGTCAAACATTTCTACACATGCTCTCTTTGTTCATCTGTAAATAGACTAAAGAAACAAAAAAACAATCAACTATCTTTCATCGACAATATGGTAAACATAAACAATAAAAGACAAAAAGAAAAACATGATTAATTTTTTGCATCATAATTTTTATTAATAATCTTAAATGAACCATGATCATGTTGAATAACAACACCTTCACCAAATGTTATATCGACTTGACAAGAATATTTATCAATTAATTGTTGAGTTAATGGTACTTGATTTTCAATCAATGGTACATAAGGTAGATTAAGATGTTCAGCAAGTTTTATAAAATATAATAAATCATCTGTTTTTCGTCTTGTATATCGTCCTTGTTTATTATTAATATTAAATAAATAAACAGAAAACATTGCCCATTGTAATGATTGTGTACAATATGAATTATTAACTTTTTTTTGTATACCACCACCATATAATTCACCACGTAAAACTAATGATATTTGATATTGTTCACAAAAATTTATTAAACATTCTTTTAAAGAATATTTTG